AAAAAAGACGACATGATAGCTTCAGCTGCCAACATCACAACAGCAGAAACACTAAACATCAGCCTGCTATCAATTCAAAGGATTGCTACAAGAATGTTATAGTGCTACTGATCAAGTTACCCATCTAGCAAAGGAAGAAAGAGAATTTATAGCTTCAGTTGCCAACATCACAACAGCAGAAACCATAAACATCAGACTGCTATCAATTCAAAGGAAGCAAGAGAATTAGGCATGAAAAAAGAAAGCTCGACACCTCAAGCGCGTCTAATCTGGTAGGAGTCATAAACATCACATCTAGTCAATCATCATGAACCGAAAGGAGCAAACCAGTTTTATATCTAATCTAAACTAAATTATCCTAGGGCCAAACTAAGCCAACGTAATAAACCTAGCCCTAATAAGACTGAAATTGTGGAATTCACCAACCCAGCCCTAGGAACAACCACGACCATCTGACCGCAAAAACAGCGGACGGTCTGATTTAATTTAATCAAGCGGCTAATGAGGGAATCGAGTTTGCGGGAGAACAATTGAGCACTCGCCGTCTTGCCATCCAAAACATCAGAAACCCTAAACCCTACACATCAGACTAGGTATTGAACGAAATGCGTTGTTACCTTCTCAAAGAGAGATCTCAGCGGAGGAAATCGAGGGTAGGAGTTCACGAATGGGGATGGCATCCCCATTTTTGTGGAAGCGCCAATGGTCCATCCGAGTCGTAGAATCATCATGAAAGGGCGGGGTCGAAGAAAGAGAGGAGGGTTCCTTTTCATTTAACCGGCCTAGGCCCACGCATGAGCAGGCCGGTGGCCAACTGCATTATTTATTAGATATAGGAGAAGAAAGGAGAAAAATCAAAATCTACGAGATAATAGCGATAAAGAGATTAAAAAAACTAAATATTATCATATGTGTTAACAATTACTAACAAAATGGAAGAAGAAACGTACAAATATCAGATCAATGAAACCGTAATATAAAGTGATGACCTTTCTGCTACATGGAAGATGGGAGGATACTCCCTCCTCTGTCCCTCTCTCCATGGACGGAGGATAACCTTTGCAGCTCGTGAGGACTTACGGACCCGGCGCGGCCTCTCCATGTTATGTTACTCTCTTCCTGGACGACGATGACGAGCTCGGATGCCCATTCTGGGCACTCGCCATGTGACTCTCTTTCCCGACAATGACGAACTCATCTAGGGGATGACGCCAAAAACCTTTGCACATCGAGCGGTCGATCCTATTTAACCCCTATCTATAGTTTTCCAAACGACCAATGACGGCACGAATCGATGAAGTGTCGTTGCGGGAGGCCACCGCGTCCCGACTCCAGGCCCGTGCACGCACTATCATTGAGCACTCGCCGACTCTCAGCTTGCCATGCACTAAAACAAAACCCTCAATGAACTCAAAGACAAGAATTCAAAAGATCTAAAATGACTAAGTTCACAAAAGATCAAAATAGATCAAAGAACACAAACTTTTGAAACTAAAACTAATTTAAGTAGGAGATGCAATGGTCGCTGCCTCATTAAAACGTTTAGGTAAAACTCACCCTTGTGAGAGCGTCCTAGATTAATTATTCATTACATCCATCACCATAAGTCAAGTTATTATAGAACCATTACATAAATGAGAAGTGAACTAGTCGACATCAAGATAAAGACCACAGAAAGGCCTCTTCCATCTCTTGTCCTCCACCATGTGCTGGCATTCTCCCAATCTTGATGCGGAGCGAGTTTTAGGGTTCGAGACCTCCGCCGCCGCCGCCTCCTCGATGATCCCTTGATTAAGCTAAAAGTAGACTCGAAGAAATGGTTCATCGTCAAAATGTCTTTTAGCAAGAAGAGCAAAAATGAATAATAAGTAAGTTTGTGATGCATGATGTCAAACTCATCACGAATGGTAGGATGCAAGCTCACTAGAGTTCCCCATCCTAGAATGATCAAGACTGGAAGAGCCGCTCCAACATCCAACTCATCCATCATAAATTTCGCCAAGTACGTTCTTTTCTTACGAGCGAGGATGGAGGAACTATTAGAGGTTATACATTTTAAACATAAGAGGTGTCCAAAGAACTTATTAGTGTAGTCAATATTAAAAAGAGAATGTAACTTCCTAAGCACTTTGGTAAACCCCTTAATTTTAGCTCTTGGATCTAATATGAATGCAATAGAATAAAGATCGGTATGTTCTTCCGAAGACTTATTGTATTTGTCAATCATAGGTTGGATAATAGATCTTAGATGTTCATCATGTTGATACCTATGCGTGTGTATAGCAATCTTAACAAGATGATGAATCATAAGTGGAGAAGTAGGATAGTCGGACAAATCAACAGTTGAGTCATAGAACAGTTCAAAAATTTTAAGATTTTATTTGCCATAGCCATGATCATCGGTCAAAAGGCGAACCTCTAGGGTGGCCTCAATGCCCAGGCGACAAGTGCTTAAGCATTAGGTAGGTAGAGTTCCATCTAACATCCATGTTAATCCAAACTTCCTAGATTAACACCATTAGCAATGCAATCTGTATGAGCAATTCTTTGATTAGAGGAGTTCATAAAAGATATTGTTGTTCTAAAATCCTCAATGAGAGGATTCACCCATGCATTCTTCTTTCACAATCATGAGTTAATAATATGACAAGCACATCGTTGGCAGATCGAACCCAAATATTCTTTAAGTATAGGTTTCAGTTTATAACATTTTTAGGATGCATTATCCAAAAGGAGAAAAAACCTTGTTAAATACCATAAATGCAAAAATCTACGATTATGGGACACATCAATCAACCTTAAACCAAGTATCATCTAATTGCCAATCAGCATTAATGAAAAGCCTAAGATAAATAATCTTTTAGCCTTTCCGGACCATATCAGATGAAACATCATTATATATAACAGATCTCTACCACGGTGGTTTGCTTAGAGAATTACTCGGTTTCACCAATCATAAGAGATGTTCAATCTAGCAAGCATATGAACAAGTTCAACACGAGCTACCTCAAAGACTGTACTCCCAACGACAAATGTAACCATCGTAATTAAAAGCAATATGACTGAGTCATGCCCATGGGTCTTCTCAAGTTTCTTAGGACACTTAGCAAGATCCCTCAAGAAGATGCCCAAGTGCTCTCTAGCGCTTATGGAAGGCAAGTGGCGACAAATGATCTTTCTACCTTTCTCGCTTTTGTAGTGCTTCTCAAAGTCCTCCCGCAAGCAGACGTGGAGGCGGACTTACTAGTCGACCCACATCGCGGCATCGACGGAAGGGGATCCATGTTATGCAGCGGCCCTCGTGGACATCATCGTCCTCATCATCTCCAACCATCCCGCACATTCGTGCTCGGGTGGACGCACTGGGCCATATCTCTACCGCTCTCGGTTCCTCGACGCCGCCACAATCAATAGATAAAAGCGAGGGTTAGGTTGGGGATTAGGGTTAGGGTTAGGGTTTACCTCACCTCTACGATCAAGCCCTCGAGATGACGACTGACACCCGGTACCTCAACGGAGACCAAGCCGGAGGTGGCGGCGGGATGACGATGATGACGGAGATGCGGCGAGGATCGAGAACGAGGCTCAATCGACGTTCAGAGGATGAAGAATAAGGGAACAGATAGAGATTGAGGCGAGAACATCCCTCGAGGGAGAAGAGGGAGATTGAGGCGAGAGGGAGAAGAGGAAACCACTGGATTTGAGGGAGAAGAGGGAGATTGAGGGCGGAGAGGGATAAGAGGGAACCACCGTCCCGGGCTCGACCCCTTACCCGCCGGAAGACTCCATGGTGACGGAACGAGGTCGACAACGGAGAGGAGACTCTGATGCGGCCAAGATGCGGAGGACGAGGCTCAATCGACGTTTAGGGATGAAGATGAGGGGCAAAGATTGCCGTGTCATGTGCCAGACGGCCACAAAGGGTGGCTCAAACCACCGAAGGGCGAGAAGAAAGAGAGAGAGGCTAGGGTTTTAGCGAAGAGAATGACAGATAGATTACACGTCCAGGGAGCGGGGGGGCCCACACCCGTGCCACCCCCTGCCTGCTGGAGCGGGCCTGCCGGCACTACGTAATTGCATGGGCACGGTGGCTCGGGCCGAGTGCACGGTCTGCGCGTGCCGCACCGGAAAAACACCGTGTTTTTTTTTCTGACTGGGCCCATGCCGGCCCAGCGGGCCTGGCCCGTTTGGAAAACTGTACCCCTATCCCTCTATTTAAATAGGACAGATGGGTCCAAGGGCCACCCCAGCCCTCCGTAATTGTAGCGCTTCGGTTACTCGTTTGTGCGGCTGCAAAACACGGTTTGTTTCAGCTGATTTGTGTGAGACGTCTAAAAAGTATGGTTGATTCTAGCAGATAGCTCGAGCGAACAGGCTGGCGGCCGAACTCCTCGACGGCTCGTGTTCCGATAGACTATTGAAAACAACGTCGTTCAACTTCCATCTCTCCCAAAGAAAATCGTTGTTCAAATCAAGTACGCCTCCCTCAAATTCCTCGATCTTATCCCAGTTGATAAAATTTTCCATGCGCGCGAAGAGGAAAAAATCAGTTTGGCACGAGATAAAATAAAATTTTCAGAGAGAAAATAGCGCATCAGTTAGCGGGGGCTGCATGGCGCGCGCCCCGCAGGCGGGAGAAGTTTTGCATGCGCATGCTGGAAACTGGAAGGGCAGATTTGCATGTGCATGCCTGCAAGCCGGAAGGCGTGACGGAGAAGCGTGAAACGCAGTTATTCAGAAGCGGAAACCGAACAGACTATCCTAGAAACGCGCAGTAATTAAGGTGCTTCTTGGTCTTAGCATTTTTTTTTTTTTTGAGTTATATTGCTCCTGTCATCACATTCTACCACCTAACAGAGCTGGGATCTCCAAATACAGGAGATGCGTTAGACATCCATCCACACTCTACCCCTTCCTTCTCTCCAAGCCACACAAGCAGGTAGGAGACCGCTACATATTCTTCTATAATAACGGGCATCAGCAGCCAACACAAATGTATGCTAATCAGAATCTGAGGCAATGTCTAGTATCAATCTTGGTCGAACTGAACCCCGCTGCTGCGGTGGTGAGAAAGGACCACATCTCTCTCCGGCGCGCTCATCTTCGTTTGAGCTTCCCACAAGTGAACCTGCACACAAGGAATTAAATTTTACATCTTCTTATAGGGACAAAAGAAGAGGCATGGTTACCAAATAAATTAGCAACTCAAAAGTGCCACACGCCACAGATTCCAATACGTTTGGCAGTGGCAAAGTGGTGGTGATAAAATTGTAGCAACAACATCGCAATTCAAATCATCTAAGCACAAGCATATATCAAGAAAAAACATTTTAATGAACAGATAATAACAACAAATCACACAAAACCAAAAGGAGTGAAGACTTCTTCCATACCATCTAAAGCTGTTATTCTGTCTCCAGGATTGCTCCTTTTCTTAGATGCAATTTTGGCAGTAGTTAAATCTTCATCAGGGCCACTAGTGCTGGCATCTGTCTGTTTGTCAGAATGGACATCAACACATGTTTGAGTGTCTGCTCCCAGGTTAGCAAGACCCATGGCACTATCTCTTTCATTTGATGAACAAGGTTGCAATGCGCTATCATGTCCATCTTCCACTGGCACCGGGTTTGCTGCTACCGCCCCAGAAACTGGGCCTTGCTTAGGTTGATCATTGGCAGGGTAGTTTTCCACTTCACCTGGATTATCTGTCGCCTTTGTACTGGTATCAAGTATCTGGGAAGTAGGATCATCTCGGGGACTCCCAGGACATTCCCAAAAGGACAATCCCAGGTCACCAAAACCTTCTCTTAATGCAACAAATGAGCTTTCCTTTGGGCATACACCAGTTTGTTCGCTACACACTCCTAAATTTTCAGGTGTGTTGAGTGGAAACAGATTTCCAGTGTCATGCGTCGAGCCACAGTTCACAGCACCAGGAGACAACACCATGACATCATCATCATCTGAGTCACTCAAAACTATTATATCCTGCCCTGTTGATGCTGGAGGACCATTCTGATCTGAGGATGAAGAATCAAGATCATGGACATCGGTTGTAGGATCACCATTTGTTGCTGGCTCTAAATTATAACCTTCATTTGCAATGTTTGTATCACCAATATTGCTTGAGAGAGTGATGCACTTTTTGTTTTCATTGTATCTTGAATGGTCATTACCAGAAGACGGCACCAGATCAGCATCCCCTATCTTGCTAATTTCCCACTGGCCGTTGCTTTTTTTCCTAAGTCCCAACTTAAGACATCCGACCTCCTCAGACAGCAGCTCTTCTTTAACCTCATGCTTTACAATGCAAATTTCAGATTTGGCTGCTGTATCTGTGGCCACAGAAGAGTACCATCTGGTTGATGCCACTGTATAAGGTCCTTCAGTTCAGCTCTGCCCTTAACTCTCCAGGAACCATCAGGCTTGACATCAATTTCAGACGTATCATCTCCGCAACTTTTGATCTGTATCACCAATAAGCAACAAATCAGCAACGATACACACCTGAAAATGTAGACATGAAAAGTTGAAAACACTATTTCATCGCCACTGTAAACTCACCAAAGAAGTGATGCGATTGAAGTAAGGATCAATTATTATGTTCTCTAGAGAGTAATTCTTCAGGCAAATTGGACATTGCCACTGCAAGCAAGGAAACGAAGTTTGATTTAGATAAAGATGAAACAAGATTCAATCAATATGGTCACGAAGATGAGGTAAAGTTGTATTGAGTCCAAATAGTCAAACCTTCCTGGAACGTTGGTTTATTTCAATAAAAGCTTCTAAATCAAAACAACCCATGTGAGCACAGGGCTTGAACCTACCAGCAATCTGGATCCTTGAAGCAGTCATCTGTCACAAGATTAAAAAAACAGATCAAAAGAAAAAAATGGGTGACGTTCTGTGAAGGAATGCAAAGAAAACTATGGCCCTGTTTGGCACAAGCTTAAACTCATGCACAAGTTGGTTTATGGAAAAAGCTATGAGAAGCAACTGCTGGGGAAAAAACTAAATGTTTGGCAACCTTTTCACTGATACTTTCCTATGGGACCCACATATTGACTTTAGTAGAAGGGGAGAGCTCATCCTCGTCGCCGCTCTTGCCCGTCCCTCTCGCTCAACCTTGGCCTCCGCTGTGCACAGCCGCCCTGACACAGCGTGCCCTATGGTGGCCAGCAGCGAACAGGCATGCCTCAGCTCAGCTTCTTCATGCTAGCAAGTAGCTTGTCCAACCGTCCACCATAAACTCACAAAACAAGTGCCTTCCTCTGCTCCAGAACTGCTGTCACCATCCACCTGGAATTCACCTCTGCTCCTTGTTCTCCATTGACCAAACCAGATCAAGACCACCAGCCTCTGCATCTCTGTTTCTTTCCCATCGATTCAAGCAGCAACTCCACCACTTCATCGCTTTCTCACCCAGATAGGCAAAGTACCAGGGTGGGCTGCACCCAAATCAAGTCCGACTCCACTCCCAGTCACATACAAGCTCTATCCTTCCAATCTTTGCTCCTTTCTTCTTCCTAATCTGCAGATCAACACCACAAACACCAACCCACAACTTGAGCACAACCTCCTCTCAACTTCTCCTCCCTCCAATCCAAGCTTCAACCCCAGGCACCAGCTCCTGCACCTGGACCACAGCAGCCAGAGTTCCAAGGTGCCCCCTTCAAGCCGCTGCGCCACTTTATGGTTGGGACGCGCCTCTGAGCTGCTGGTTGAACCTCAACACTGGAGGTGTGGCAATGTGCAGAGGTGGTAGAGGGGAGGCGCAGAGGGGAAGAAGGAGCAAGGCGGCCAAGAGGAAGTGGATGCGTAGCAGGGGGGCAGGGGGTGGTGGAAGAAGCAGGTATACTTTTTCTGCAAGCTGCTCACAAACCATGGCAAGGAGAATCGGGCTTTTACATGTAACAAAAGCAATGGAGAAGCGCTGCCCTGAAAAGTTTTGCATTTGTGAAGAGAAGCGGCTTTTTTATGAGAAGCGCTGTTGCCACACAGGGCCTACCATCAAACATATTGTTCCAAATATGGTGGTCACGGAAAAAGCATGTGCATTAACAAAAATATAACATATATGGTGATCTTAGGATAAGTAACCCTAAGCCTCAAAAGTCATCAGCTCACAGCTGCAGCATAGAGAATAACTTCTGGTGGCAAATACTAATAATTGAACAAAATTTTGGCTTGAACAATATTACAATGTGTTAGACAGGCAGATGGGCCTAGAGCCCAGTATACACGGGCTTGTGCTGCAGCGGACCCTGAGTCCAGCACACACCTATAGGTTGAGTCGAAACAGGCAATGATATTGGTGATTGGTTCAGATTCTATATAAGCCAACCCTAGTTATCCTTGCCTATATGAACATGTATCATGTTTTCCCATATCTACTAATTCCATCAATCTCGCTTTCAATTTTGTCAGGTGTAATAGACATATCAGAGCAATTGGCCATTTTTATAAGCAGTCCATTAAGGATCTAAATCATCCACAGTAATAGCCAGACTGCTTACAGGGCACCGAAGATTCACGGAGACAGAATCAGCCACAACTTCGATATCACTATCACTGTCTGCATTATTTGCCTCAGCTCCACCACCAACACAGCGACGCACACGAGCAAGGGCATCATCAAAATTTTCACCATCTTGTTCCTTTGGCACCAAATTTAGGACCTGCCCACTATCAAAGTTTCAAAAACTAGAAACAATAAAAATGAAACAGGATTCAAGATTCAGGTGTTCAGCACTTTCTAGGTACCAGCTTGTGGCAGTAGTACTGTAGTAGTAATACAACCAGCCAGTTTATAGTCTTTTCCTGCTTTTTTTGGGGTGCATGGGTGGGTGATCATCCTCTGATTAGTTTTTTCACTACAAAACACAGATCCTAACAAAGGGTAACAGGGAATTGGAATTTTGCTATAACACCAAACGTACAAGTTCCACATAGAATCTTTCTGGGCATATAAAACAGCTATCCTCCCAAGGTGGCAAGGCCTTACAATGGAATTCACTTGAAAGATAATCAAAAGTCTAAGACTCCAAACATGGTAAGAATAAAAAAAGAACAGAAAGAAAAGCATCTCAATATTTGTGGTAGATAGAGGAGGGTAAAATAAAACTTCTAATATATTAAAAAGCACTGGACATGCCTAAGAACAATTAAAGCCATCTGAAAGTGTTTGCCGATGCCTATCCACTTTCTTAAAAGGCGCACATGAAGCACGGCTGATTCACATATCCTTGCCCAGTAAAATATGTGTCTTGAATCTTGAGAGTGCAGTGCTTAACAATGGACTATATACTAAAAATCCCACCTGTTCTAGAGATCTCCTCTTGGCAATTCTGATACCCAAACAGAAAGTACGAGAGTCATTTCTCGATAGAGAAATCTTGTTAGGTCCCTCCTTCAGGTAATCTGTTAACTGGGAACATAGAAATGTTCAGGGTCAAAAGGAGATATAATATACAATAGAAAACTGTAGCTGATAAATGCAGGAAGATGATGTAAAAAAACGTCCAGTGCCTTAGCAAAAAACAAACATAATAACAAGCTTCAAAACAAAAAAGACTTACTAGTGGACCATCGTCTCTACCATTGGCCCCTAACTTTTGTTGGGGTTGCCTGTTAACCACCCTAACATAAATACCTGACAAAGTAAGAATTACCAACAGGAATAGTTCAGATATAGTATAATTGAACTTACTGTCAGAATAGCTACCAGAGCCTATATCATAACTACAGCTAGAAGAATGTAAAATATTATTTTTGCTAAACTGCAGGTATAAGTACAAGTACAAGCACAAGTCATAAACCATAGACTGAGGTGCATATACAAATCAACCCATAATAAGCCCCCCAAGAAAAGGAGAAAAGCATCACTGACGGTGCAACAAAAGATGAATCAGCTGTTATTTGGACTTAATCTGATTCAGACTGGGGTGTTTCTGCCTTTTCCTTTTGTTATACAGAAAATAGCACTTGGCATCCAACAAAGCAACACAGCTGCCAGAAGCATAGATTCAGGCTCAAACGTCCAAGTAGTGGCAACATAGTAAAACCAACCAGGTGTTATACAAATATTCAACAATTTACACAACAAATCAACTCCTAAAGAAGAAAAAAACAATAAAGAGTATTTTCCATTCTTTCCTTGTACACATTGTGAAAAATCAAACAGGTGGCACTTAACTAAGTTTTTTAACTCAATAAACATGTACCAAAATCCAATTAGAAAATATGACTCACTATACATAATAAGCCACTACATATACCATTAACTTGCATGTCAGAGTGTAAAGGCCAGTGCATCCTAAAAGGTACTTTGTCACTGAGAAGGATACACCAAACCTGCATAAGAAAAAAAAAATCGATTCGAACTCTAAGTAAATAACTGATATGAAAAGATTGAACATAGTGGCTGCACATGAAACCCAAGGTAGGAAATCAATACACGCAGGTAATGGTGATTATTCCATGATGATCCTAAACAAACGTAATGGTCCAAGGAGAATGAAAAGAAAAAGAGGTGGAATTAACCTGAACATCGCATTCAGCTTGCTGTAGCATTTCTCTATTAGCTCTTGAAAGCTGAAAGCTTTTTGCGGTATACTGTACAGTATATGACCTGGACATAAGCAAGAATCACAAAAGGCTATGCATATTCCTACTTAACTTTTATAACAAAATGAAGCAATTTGTTCAACCATTTTGTTGCTCGGGACTCATATAACAACATTGTTATCCAAAGTACAATTATCTCACGTTTCTTCCTATAAATAACAAGGAGTAAAGATGACTGCACAAATCATGTAAGCTACAGAAGCAACACATAATGGAGGAGACTGTTCATTTTATGTCATCCAGCAAACAAAAGTAAAGCTCACATCATTCACATGTATTCATGCATTTTACAGATGTAAGAGCATCTCCAGCAGTTCCCCAATCTCATCCCTCATCCACATAAAACTGCCATATTGGGGGAGATGTGGTTGATTTGTTGCTCCAGCAGCTCCCCAACATGGTCCCATTTTTTTGGTAGTTAGCAATAAACTCCTCTTCTCCCCTCAAATAAAGGGGGAGTTGGATCTCCCCCAATACAGTGGGGCCCACAATAACTGCCACTTCTTCGGTTCTTCCTCTCTGCGCAGCCATGGTGCTCGAGAAATCCGGCCGGGGGCAGGGCTGGGGGTGGCGCGGCCGGGCGGCACGGTGGCCGGGGCCGGTGAGCGCCTCTACGCGCGAGCAGGAAGGAGTTCGACCGCACGAGCGCCTCTACGCGTGTGGGAAGAAGACAGACGCGAGGGAGAAAATGAAAAAAAAAAAAAATTGTAATGACATGTGGGTCCCATATATTGGGGGAGATTATTGGTAATCTGCTGGAGCATCTTCCCCAATAGTCTGAAAAAACAGTATTGGTGATCACCAATACCATCCTATCGGGGGATGAATGGTGAGCTGCTGGAGATGCTCTAAAGCAACACATGTAAGGCTTGTTGGGGAAAGAGTACTCAGAGCAAAGAATATTGTCATCACACAAACAGAAGGTAAAGCAAATGATTAACAGATAAGATCTGATGACGACTCGATATGGATATCCATTTCTAAAATTCTTAAAAGGATTAAGTTGCAATTACAGCAAAATGCCCAATCATGATACAATACCTTTTTCATGCTTTATCAAAGTAAAATTATCAAAGGAAGTTATTTTACTTATTAGAAAATTAGACAACATGGGGGTCTAGCAGTAACGATCAAAAAGGTTTCAACAGATAATTCAGAGGACGCAAGACAGAACTGATTTGTACCATCCAAAAACATCAATAAGTGTGCTTTGTGATGAAAGAATGGATAGCTCACCCGTCTGCTGCTACGGTAGAGGGTCCTATTAAGACAGGGAGTAACAGATGGTTCACGGTGACCCAAAAACTGCATGTTACAGTAGGAAACTATGTCAGAAATAATAGGTCACCTAATATTAGGACTAAGAAAATGATGCTTGTTACCTAAACAAGTAGAACAAGGAAGCACACAAAAAGTTCAAAAAAGAACGTTGCAAAGGATACATATTGATCAGATTTTAAATTTAGGCAAGAAGATTTTCGTAAGTGATTGATGCCACAGAATAACCAGCACAGACAAATGGCATAAGGTTGCGAATTAAAAGCAGTTAATCACATGGTCTCTTTGAGTTGAGGACAATATTGAAGTTGAAAACAACTTACGGATCAGCCCTGCTAAGTCGGCACACTTCACAATAAAAGCAGGAAGGTAATTCAGGAGAAATATTGTCTGCAGACTTCTCAGCATCGGGTATGATAACACAGCCAACATGTTGCCATATGTTGCATTGTGGATCAATACACTACAAGGAGCAAACAAATGATCAATGAAACAGAAATGTGTAGTGTAGCACATCTCATCAAGCACAAGAGCTACAAAAGTCTCCGAACAAAGCAAGCAATGCCACATTTCATAATAAAAGCTATAGGCTTCCAGTATAAAAGTGAAAGGCTGAGAGTGAGCTAGACCATCAAACTGCTTTGAAGTTTCAGAATATAAACAGTGAGATGCTTTGGTGATTCAGAATGGACCAACAACAAATATCCTGAAACCTTTATGGTTTGGCTGCAGGACATCAAATACTGTAGAAGAGTTAGAAAGGCAAATTTATCATAAGAATTTTACCTTAATCATGGAATCATTTGACTTGGAGTCACCACAAGGGCAACGAACCTTAACTGCCTGAGCAGACTCATCTGGTTTCTTTTTATGCTTAACACCGTGTCCTGATCCGTGGCTCCTTGAGGGTGTTACAGTATTTGTAGGCTCTTGCATTTTTCTTGAAACAGGAAGCAAAAAGCGATAGTTTGCCAAGGTTACATTAGAGCCAATCAGGTAATCTATAGTTGTACAGGCAAGTCAATGTGAACAAAAAAAATATGGACTTACCTAAAAGTGTCCTCCACTATTTTCACCACCATTTTTGCTTTTGGTAAACCATTCGTTTCTGAGGCTACAAGAATAAAGCTGAAATTATTTCTCATGCTTGAAAAACAATAAGTTTTGGAGACAAAGAATGGAACATACCTTGATCTTGCTGACTGATCAATACTGCCATAACTCTGTCCACTAGATCCTGCAAACCAAACCGGAAACACCAAGACCACCAGGGTCATAATAAGTGATAACTTCCAAATCCCCCAAGAAAGAATACTATAAGGCACATAGATGATTGTGTTGGTGAATTTCAGCATGTGCTTAAGCTATTAAAGATACTGGCCTTAAGAAACCAATGCCATTCCGACGTTTTTAACACAATAACATGGAGCACTGGGCAATGGATGTTGATTATGAATACAGTCTGTAGAGGAGCTTGCAGTGGGCAAACCTGCTTCTTTCCTTGCTTTGAGAGTCCAAGCTGATCCAGGACATCCTTGAGCTCTTTTATTCTGAAGTGGCTCAATTTGTGCTACAATGAAGCATTAGTAGAGCAAATGTTAGCAGGGCACATTATCTCAGGATCAAGAAATAGCAACGTATTGGAATCAACCAGATCCTATCCGACCAGCAAGGAATTTGGAGATAGCTAGATACCAGCAGTTGATTAGGACGAAACAAAACATGGCAACTGTAAATGACATGGTGAAACAGTTTGGCGGGGATACTAAGCAGCTAGTACATTACTAGATTCTGGGCAAAACAGTGAGGGAACTGAATTTGGGAGTGGTACATGCAATGAGCAGGCGAGTGGCACTAGGGTATGGGGGGGAACGAATCAAGTCGATCGAGGGCTCTAGGTAGCTCAACAAGAGCGAAAGGAGATGGAAGGGAGTCCGTACCTTGCAAGCGGCGAGCACGGGATCGTCTGGCGACGCCATGTTGGCAAGGAAGCAAGGTCTTGTTCCTCCAGGTCTGGCGGGCGGGAGGGCGGCGGAGTGGAATCGGGTCTTGGAGAGAAGAGTGGCGAGCCGCCCTACCTACCATCATCAGCAAAGGAGCCCTGGCCCCTAATTTTTTGCAGCGAGAACCGGGTGGCGGCGTGTGTGTTTTCTGTCACAAACGCTGGCGGCGGCGGTGTTCTCTGTGCGTGCGTGCGTGCGTGCGTCGAGTGGAGGAAGACGAAGGCACGCCCGAAGCTGTGTGGCCAACAACAGGTGGAGCGGTACGCGTCCTTGGGCTGCCTAATCGCCTCGGCCCAAACTAGCTTAGTCTGAACCAACCCCCAAGCAGGCCTTGGTGTGATAGCCCCATCACGTTCGGCTTCTGTTCGAGCGCCTTGGGCCTTGGGCCTTGGGCCTTGGGCCTTGGCTAATTGATCAGTTCTCCCTCTAACAGCTAACCATGCACAGCTATGGTCCTATCATCTTGGAGATCAAGAGAAGAATGCAAAGCTTAGCCAGAATTGATTTTGTGCATGAAGGGCGGTAATCGAATTTTGATGCACATCAGTTAGCTAAGAATTCTGTTAGTTTATATTTTGGTAGGCATGTGTGGCTCATCTCTCCTCCATTTAATTAGAGTTTGTAATATTATAATTGGTGATCAATAAAAGGAGGGGGTTGTTTCTCAAAAAAAAATGTAGTGATGAAACATTTCCTCAGGGAAAAAAAACATGTACTGTATGCAATACCATCATCTTCAATTATTCTTCATTCTCCCATATACTATATATGCATAATATTATGATTCAGTTCTTTTCATGCACGCGGAGGTACCCCTCTCCTGCTTTGCATTGTTGCATATAATAATAATAATAATAATTGTATGTTATAGTGCTGCGGTCAACCATTGAGATCATTATTCTCTCCACTCACATTATTCTTTACAGTCACCGTTATTCCTTTTCATTCGTTTTTCCCTCTCCACTGTTAGGAAAAAGCTTGAAAGTGGTGGTGGGCTGCTAGCGGCAGCACAGCACAAGTGTTGGCTGCTGATTGATAGCTATAGTTACAGTAAGGGCACCCACATCAATAGGTGACTTATAAGTCAGCTCTAAGTTTTTTTTTTCATGTTTTTATAGAAGAGAGAGAGAAAAGTTAGCTCTTGATCAAGAGTTAGGCTCATACACACATCCTAATTTCATGTGAGGGCGTCATGTGTGGCTATCAATGTTATGAGCTATATGTTAAAAGTTAGCACTATTAAAGAAGTTGACTTAGAGTTAGTAAATAACATATACCATCATGGATGCCCTAACAAGTGTTTTAGGAGTGAATCGTTGCGATAAATGATACGCATATAGTCCATCACCACCACCTTGGTGACCACATCTCTCATCTTATATATGCTCATTTGTATTGACTTGTTTCCTTGTTCATACAATGTGCATGTAAGTTTGTTCAGAATTCTTTCACTTGGAATTATATATATATATATATATATATATATATATATAGGTCCTGACGCCAGCTATTGACTTACTTTATTATGGTCACGTACTGTTAAAAATTTTGACAAGACGATCCGATGACCTTTTTCATCAGAAAAGGTCGGAGGATCATATGGCGTGTCAGTTAGAGTTGCATCCTCCTGGACGTACGCACTTTCTGTCATATAAAAAAAACTCGACCCGTGAGGGGTTAAGACAGCCCCGGGCCGGATCCATTCGCCTTCAATTATTTTGATACAAAGATAGATATGTGCTGTCTATGTGACCGTATGTACGTGCTGTCTATGTGACCGTATGTACGTGATGTAGGTGTCCTACTGTACCGATGCAAATAGGAATTGAAAATCCATCATACATACAGTTTAATTATAGCTGGACGTTTTTGACAAAATAAATAAAGATGCATATGTGCATGCATCCACGCGGTCCTCTCCATATCTATCTCAGGGGGCCGGGTAGGGTAGATGGGAAATAAGAAGCAATCTTCATAACCGAAAATGGCAACTAATGCCAACACAGGCTAGTGGGCGCGCTGCCGCACTACACCCTCCCTCGCTCTCTGTGTATATGCATGCATTCTAGAGCTACAAAAGAAGTACATTCATCCATAAATGGACTTCTTTTGTCAGCTAGGAGTAGGTTGTACGAGTATGCATAGAAATAATTTCTTTACATCGTCTGCCCATGCTAATACTACTCCACATATATGCCTGGTTGTCGTCAAGGAAAAAATATTTTGTAGGAAAAGCCAGAGATTTGCATGTGTCAGTACTCACCTTTTCTGCTACAAGGTCGGTTTCAATGGATTTTTACGAGGGTTTCAGGGTGACAATATATATATTGTGTTGGTGTGTGTGTGTCGTGGTTTGTCTTCGTGAAAAAACATTTTGTAGGAAAAGCCAGAGATCTGTATGTGTCAGTACTCACCTTTTCTGTTACAAGGTCGGTTTCAATGGATTTTTACGAGGGTTTCAGGTGACAAAGCATAAAATAGATAACGGGCTTGCTAGCGCCGGACGTTTACGCCTGCAGCTGTGTTTCCGCGCCACGTGGAGCCCGCGCCATTCGAACGTCGCTAGCATCGAGAAGAGAGGAGAGGGGGCAGCGGATGCCCAGCCAGCGCCGGGGAAGGAGGAGACACCGAGACAATGGTAGCAGAAAACAAGGAGGGAGATGCAACAACCGATCTAGTTTTGAAACATCCAAATGCAACACTTACAACATATGTCTAAAGGCAGATGAAACACTTGAAATATGCATCTGAAACACTTGCAAAAATAAATGAAACACTTGAAAACCATTGTAAAACATACGCAACATCAAATAAACACATGCAATATATATGTGAAACATATGCAACATCCAAATAAACACGTCATATATCTGGAAAAAACAGATGAAACATTAAGAACAAAATCTTATAACATACGTATACAACTATTGCAACATATGCAACATCTCAATCTACTTTTGCAACATCCGCACAAAACACTTGCATCATACATTTGAAACACTTGAAACATACGCTTGCAACATGCACTTTCAGCACAATGTCATCTTACTGCTTGGACGAATGGACGTTCGTTGTTATGGAGCTCGAAGACGCCGCGGAGGTTGGCGGTGGCACATGGAGCTCATTAGTGCAGCAGCGGCGCCGCCATCCTGCGATTCTCCAACGCTTGCTCGCGGCCTAGGCTCGCGCCCATCGGCGCAGCCCTATTGCTGCTACTCTAGCGCCGCTACTTGCTCGACCGTAGTCGTCCAGCGCCGTCCGCTCGTAGGGGACGGGGCGCGGCACAGTTGGCGATAGGGTGCGGTGCGGTGGGAGAAGGGCATGGCTCGACGCCGCGACGGGGGATGGGGCGCGGTGGGGGAAGGGGCGCAACGGGGCGGAAGGATGAGCGGCCCAGAAATGCTCAGCCATGCCGTGACGGGCGGATGAGTGGAGTAGAGAAATTTTTTTTGAGAGGCCGGTCCGCTGCACAGGAGGCATAACTGGGAGCCGCGTCCGACGAGACGGACGCCCGACGAGATGGACGCCCGTGGCTAAGCGTTTCCGAATAGATGAAGAGAAAGATTAAAGAAAGATTGATAGGACGAAATGAGTTTTACGAGAATAAAACCTATCTACTCTGTTTCTAACATATGAATACTTGGAAACTGAGATATAAAATCTTGCACTGAGACTGGCATATGAAGGAAAGGTATGGTAGTACAAAGGGCAAGGAAATACTGAGTCGAAGTCCACAAGTTTTAATTAGATAGCACTAGCTAGATACAGAAAAGGATTAATTGTAGCTAGCGGCTACGAATAGTCGAGTAGTACATGTGAAAGCATATGTCCCTTTGACGCCCTCAAAAGATACGAAGAGGGGAAAAGCAAGCTTTGCTTTGCCTTTGCTTAGAAAGGAGCTAGTCAGGCCGGCATTTGTGCGCGAGAAAGATGATTCATGGCACATCCATCAACTATAGCACCAAAAAAGGTGATCTTTCTGCTGCTGTTACCACTTTTTGTGCAACACTACACTACCATCTGGCATGATACGCAGCTGAAAGGCCTCAATATTTTTTTAAGGATTTGCTAAAATTCAAGTACCTAAATTTTAGTTTCCTTTCATGTGACGATTATTACATATATATTTTATATTAAAATCATAGATTCAGTTCACTGTAATTTCTGTAGGCGCAATCCGTAATTTTTTTGGTACAGAGAATAATAAAACCGTTAGACAAAACTATAAATCTGATTTGTGTTGGCACAAAAATGATTAACAATTTATAATTCTATCTATAGGAAGACAAAGACAAAAATTTAATGTGTTTTGACACAAAGACAAATAACAAAAGTAACAATTTATTTGCACTAGTTGGTGTACTAGAGTATTGCCTGAAATCAATTTAAAATTTAGGAGATGTGTTTTTTTAATTGTTGGAGAGATTATATATGCGTGGTTAAAGCCAAAGAAATTTCCTTTCGGCTACATATATACCGGTGAATCAACAGACGGATGGACGGTGCCTGCCGGAGCATGTACATGTAGGTGTCCATAAAAATTTTGTTTTGGAGAAAAGAGACGGGCTAGACAGGCATATAGATGACCAGCAGTTCAGCAGCAAACGATGCAAGTCACAGGTCACCTTCATAGAAAAGTAGATAGAAAAGTAGTGATGACTAACACACCACAAATACGGATTAATAACTGGTGAAAAATATACATAGGCTAGTGTCATTTTCGATGTTTAAGCTGTTCTCCAAGAGCATCTCAAGCGGTACTACCTAGTTAAAAAAGTGACGAGTCTCTCCTGCAGTTAGGTCATTGCCATGTGGGACCCACTTACTAGTAACCACTTCCTCATCAACTGCATGTCAATTGTAGTTAGAGAAATTGTTTCCCTAAAGAAGACCCCTACTTTCGTGAGTATAGAGGCCCCCTTGTTTCTCTAGAGGCCTGGTTTCTACTATCATCTCCAATAGTACTACCTAAATTA